CCCCCGAAACCTGCCCTTTTGACACCAGCTGGCAAGGTACAGTCCTGGCCCTGACTTTGGAGCGGCTTGGCCAGGCTGGGTGGGCACCACTGCTTGAGATGAGGAGCGAGGAACGCTCCAGAACTAAAGTGCCTCGTGCAAGGTAAGAGGCTGCCTGGCGCACAATGGGGTCCAGGGTGCTGAGGGAGGGGCTGTCAGGTCACAGGCTCATTCACCCTGAACTTCAGAGTTCCTCAAGGAAGTCGCAGGGCTCGGGACTTAAACCCCCTAGGGGACTGGGGTTGTCAGGTCCTGGGGCTTGGTCATTTCATTCTAGATGGAAGGGGCTGGTACACCCTGGGTCACTCTGACTTGGGATTGTGTCTGAGGAGCGCTGTGACTCTGCCTGCCTGGTGCACGGGCCGGCCTTGGGTGCAGTGGGTGTGGGTCTAGGGCCTCTGCTGGGTGCGCCCTGGTGCTGCCTGAGGGATGTCCAGAGTAGGTGGAGGAAGAGATGCGACACCTCCGTCTTGGCTGTGCGGTTAAGCTTCGCTGGTGTCAGCTCAATCGGCAGAGGCAATGTTTGACTTGCTATTGATGCAAGTGGCCTGCTGGATCATCCCTGACTGGGAACATGACCCTTTCATGTTCACGGTGGAGATGGTTAAGGCCCTGGGTCACCGACCAGCAGCCAGGCAGCCCTGTCCATGGCCTAAGCCGGTCTGACACTCAGGGTGACCGTGGAGCCCAATTTATGGGCGAACAAGCTCCTTGAACACGCGTTCCTAAAACCATTTGTTTTCGTCCAGTCTGCCTCTCTGCCCCCATCTGTACTGTCTGCCCTGGCTGGACTGTCATCCCCAACTGGACGGCTCACCCCCTGCTATACTGTTAGCACTAGCTGATGTGTAGGGAGGCTCAGTGGTCACAGCTGGCTTTGGAAGGGGCTCGTGGAAGGGGTTCCACAGCTGACAGGGGGCTGGCTCGGCGGGAACCCCAGCCAAAGGCAGGCCTGGCCCAGGCTGCTGTCTGAGCTGCCAGGCCACAATGACGGCTCCGGGACCTTGGAGGAGGCACAACCAGGCACAGTGGGGGGCTGACTAGCCTGGCAGAGGACCCTAGGAACACAAATCCCCTGCCCTTCCTGAGCCCCTAGAAATAAGTGCCACCCCGGGGCCATGCTGCATTTTGAAGATACAGGACTGCTGAAAACAATTTTCTCTTTGGAATCCTTACTGGTACCTTGCTGGGCAGGCACTGGACAGCGCCCAGCATGCAGGCTTCACATTGTCCAGCCTTAATGTTGCTTAATTCACTTTACATCTCGCCCATCTCATTTATTTGGCCTGACTCGACAGAGCACTTTAGCATAATCTTTAAAGGCCGTTTCCCAAACAGGAGACACCACAGAGACATCACCGCAGGGTCCGTGCTCCGGGTGGCCAGTGCAGGCCTCGCCAACTGCCACCATTGTCAAGTGCTGTCTCGCACCCAGCAGGCAGTTAGTGATACTGATGCCCACCCTGTTTCACTGCCCAGCAATCAGAGGGGCCAGGTTTCAGGAGCTCCCGAGCGAGCACACAGAGATGGTGTCCTTGCTCTGCAGTCCTCAAGGGTTCTCGGGCCCCAAGAGTTTACTCAGTGACAGGCAGGAAGGGTGGCCCAAGGCTAGGTTCCGTTGAAAGAGTAAAAGTTGTTTCTCCAGGCCCTCCCTGGTGGTGCAAGCTGGCCACAGCCACTGCAGCATGAGTTTGCTCCCCCACCCTGGAGGTGACCCACATGGCATGGGAGACCTCTCCTGACCCGCCTGCTGCTCCCCTCAGCAATGTACTTTGTGGATCCGCCTGTTCTGCTCCCCACTCTGTCTCTGGTGAAGCCTCTTACTGCCCTTGCCCTCTCTGGCTTGTACCCCAGTTCAGTATGCATAAATAATTTTTTTTTTTTTTTAAAAAGTTGCTTCTCCAGTGGTTTTGCTGGGGCTTCAGTTCCCAAGCAGGTGGCGAGGAGCCACTGAGCGCGCCCACAGCCCAGGCCCAGACCTCAGGCACAGGGGAGGCAGCCCGATCGCTCCCACTACCATCTGCAGGCTCCTTCCCTGACCTTTTTTCCTTTCATGAAAACTATTTTTCTTTTTATTAAAGATCTTATTTTTGTGTAGAACTGGGATATAGGCCAGAGGCAGGGGATTTGGTGGGGGAGGGGGAGCATGGTGAGAGAACTCACCAGAGACAGAGTGGGGGGCAGAACAGGTGGATCTACTGAAATACACTGCTGAGGGGAAGTCTGCTGCGCCATGTGGGCCAGCTCTGTGGCCGGGATGGACTCAGGTCATGATGGTGGTAGCCTGAGACCCAACCCCTCGGCCACTGAGAGGCCCAGAATCTGTATTCTTGACAGCTTGTCAATGGCTCTTTACGCGCAGTGGGGCCCCCCATCCTCCCAGGCTCCACCTCTGCTGCCCGGATATTGTGTCTCAAGATAAACCAAGAGGCGGACTTTGAGCCTGTCTTCTCCAAATGTGAGACCTCACTGGACACAGGACAACTCCACAGCACCAGAGACCAGGTCTGGGCCAGGAAGTGCTGCTGACATGGGGATCCGCAAGCCTGCCGCACCCACAGGGGGCACGTAAGCACACTGGATCGCACAGGGCCAGCGGGCCCACTGAGATGCGTCTGGAATAAAGCCACGCCAGAACAGAGCAACAGAACAGTTTATTGGCCGACCGGAGCCCTGCACATGGAGCGGCTCAGCGGCAGCCACCCAGCAGGGCCAGCGCACACACCTCCCTGCTGAGGGGCACTGGCTCCCGAGATCTCTGCCCGCCTCTCAGCTGGTCTGGCGCTGCCATCGCCCAGGCCCCACTCGTGCAGGACAAACCAGCACAGAGGCCTGACACCCACATCGGACAGCGCTTGCCTGCAGCCCTCCAGCACTTGCCACGGGCAGACACGCGGCCCCATGTCTCCTGCAGTGTTCTCCAGGGAAAGGCTGACAGTTTAGAAAGTGTTTCCAAAGCAGCAGATGAAGTGTGTCTCCCTGGACTGTGCCAGCAGAGGCACATGGCAAGAGCTGGTAGAGGAATTAAGATGGGCATGGCCTGCAGGAGCCTCTAGCCATCCATAGTCCGACCTCTTAAAACTCCTCCCAGTCAAGATAAGCAGGTTTATCAACCAAAAAGAAAAAAGCCGAGATCATCTGGTCTGCGGGGAGATGCCGCTGCAGCGCGGCCCCCACACCGGGCTCTGCATGTGAGCAGGTCTCCCTGAGCAGAGGCCTGGCTGCGCCTGCTCGAGATAAGGCACTTACCATGGGACGCTGTGGGCAGCAAAGAACCCCACCCGGTGCCAGGTAAGTCCCAGGACGCCGAGCCCCACCCCACCTGTCTCTGCTCAGGTGTGCCTGCTGCCTGGTCTGCTGCCTGGCCTGCTGCCGGCTCTCGCCCGCTGGTGGTCGTATCGCACAGAGATGAGGAGGAAGAGCAGCAGGGTGGCACCCTGGATCGCAGCCAGCAGGAAGAAGTAGTAGTTGAGGTGGCAGCCGTTGATGTTGCCTGCGGAAGAGGGCGTGAGCTGTGCCAGGACCACGAGCCCCGCTCTGCTATGGCCTGCCTATGAGGCCTGCTCCGCCCACCCTCTCCTCAGGTAAAGAAGACCCTCCAGAGCCCTTGCTCCCACTCAGAACCAGTGGGGCCCGCATGGGCTGGCCAGAGGAAGGCCTCTCTTTATTTAACCCTCCTCTGTCGAGAAGACCTGGGGAAGCGCACTGTGCCACCATCTGCCACCCAGAAGCCAGCATTCCAGGACACGGCCTTCTGGCCAGGGTCCCTGGGTGTACGCGTCCCCTCAGCTAGAGGGGGTTCCTGGTGTCTGCCCGCGCTGGGCTGCATGTCCTTGCCACCAGCCAGTGGCCACAGTGTGAGCATGCGCAGGTCAACCTCACTCACGCCATGGCCCACATGTGCCCGTGGGTAGCCAGTGCCCACATGAGACTGTTCAGGTTATAGGAAGAGCCCAGGACGGCCAGGGGTCCACCCCACTGCTTGGCACAGCTGATAGGGGGGATCTGCTCCCGCCCAGCACCATGTGTCAAGGCCCGCCCCGCAGGCACTGGCACTAGGACATGAGGTCTGATGTGGGCTCTTGGGGCAGCTGGCCGCACGCATTGCCCACCCGCTCCCGCACCAGGGCCAGGCCACTCCTCACCGAAGTCTGCATGGTTGCTCATCCACCCAATGGCTTTGACGGACACCAGTGCCAGGAGGCCCGAGCCCACGAAAGACCCAACACCGGAGAAGAAGAAGAACAGGCCCATGATGGCGCTCTGCATGGACTTGGGGGCCGCTGAGTATGCAAATTCCAGGCCTGGAGAGATGAAGTGGGAGTTTGGAAGCAAATACATATACTGGGGTGGGGGCTACAAGAGCCCCGTTTCTGAGGCTGTCTGCTCTAACACAGCCCCTAGAGCAGGTGTCTGTGAACAGCAGTCAGAGGGCAACATGAAATGCAGCGCCCTGTGGGGCCCTGCCTGGCCCTACGGCTTCCGGGGAGAGGCTACCACCTCCTGCCCACACAACCCTGGTCATCACTCCTTTCCCCTTTCCCTCGCTCTGAGCAGCCAGAAACAGGATTGCCCAGAGCACAGAGCCAGCAGGAGGGAGAGGCCTATGGGATTATGTTCTCAAGCCAAGGTTTGCTTCCTTCTCCAGCTGAGCTGAAGCCTGGGCTGGGGGTATGGACTTAGGAGGACTTGCCCACCGGGCTGGCCCTTCCTCTGTTCTCCCCAGAGCCCCTCTCCGGCAGCTGAGGAGTTCGGACAGCTGTCTTGTTTTCAGGCCAAGCAGGGACACTGAGCCCAGTGTCATCATCCACTCACCCACTCATCATCTGGAGAACAACTACACGCCAACACCCAGGGCCAGGCCTCGGTGGACAACCCCGTGTGTGCCCCACCCCTGCCTCTGGCCTCACCTGCGATGCTGGCGAAGATCTCGCTGAGGCCGATCAGCACGTACTGGGGCACCTGCCACCACATGGGCAAGTCGGCCGCTGAGTATACCACGTTCCCAATTGTCTGGTTGATGATATTCTCTTTGACGAGGTCCAGCCTTTTGCTTTCTAAGATTCCTGGAATTCACAAGCTGGTTAGCAGAGCCCTTGCTGCTGTACGTCTGCAATTACCCGAAAACACTAGACATCTGCTACAGATGTCTGCTGGCCGCCCTGAGAACAGCAAAGGACAGGCTCAGCATCCAGTGTCCTGGGAACCGGATGGGGACCCACCGGGCAGGTCACTCACAGGGCCCTCCCCAGTGTCTGACAGACAGATGTCTGGTGATGCACCCGCACACACACCCATGACTTCCAGAGGGGAGCAGGACAGCCAAGCGCCCATGATCAGGAGATGTACACTGTCCTGTCAGCAGGCTGAGATTCTCTTTCCATCATGAGGATGGCGACCCTGAGGGGAGTGCTGGGCCATCAAATGGGCAAGCTAGTGCCCAGCCCTCTCCGCCCATGCCCAGGGCTGGAGCCACACGAGCCCAGGACCACCCCGACAGGATGTGCATCCCCAGGCTCCCAGACCAGCAGACACGCAGTGGGGCTTCAGGCCAGAGCCTGGGGCACAACAAGGAAGCTCACCAGGCCCAGGTATGGGAGAAGCATGAAGCACCACTGGCTTTAGAGAGGGCGTGGGGCTGGGGTCCCTGGCCCAGGCACTGTGCAGACCAGGCCAGGAGCTCACCCTGGATTCCCTCCCTGCAGATACCAGGATTCCTGTACACAGGAGCCAGAGCAGCCTATCCAGACCCTGCAGACACCTCTAGAAAGTGCTGTAAGGAACAAGGAAAGCTCTGCATCCCCAAGGCAGGATGATGAAGCAACGCTCGCCCGATCCCACCGTGAAACAAGAGGCCCTGAGCCAATGGATAACCGCACAGGCTCCTAATGATTACCGGCACATTTCACACCAATATGTGGCTTTTCACTATTTAACAAGAAAGAATAAATGAACAATTTAACTCAAGAAATGAGAAGATCATAAACCAAACCCACAGTACTAATAGAAATTAATACTTTGATTTTTCAATTAGAAAACATAGGAACAGTCCAAATTACAATAAATTCATGAGATATTTATATGGAAAAATTATAAAATATAGTTTTATCAATTCTAACTTAAAAAGCACACATGTAAATGAAACTAGAAAAAAGGAAACACAACAGATTCATTCAAAAGACTTGTTTCTACCAATCATTTCTCTAAAACTCAATAAAACAAACGGTTTACCAGGATTATTAAAAAGTGATTCAAGCGAAAAGAAAAAGTTTGCACAAAAACAAGCAACAGGGTGCTCGGCTCCCAGCGGAGGCCTTGCACTCTGAGGAGCGGCCAGCGCGCCCTCAGCCCCTCTGCGAGGGCCCACCCCAGCCCAGCGCTTAACCAAACAGCTGCTTCCACTCCAACTGCCCAAACTCTTTCAACAAAACAGCATTTCCTTTAGGATGCAGGTCTGGCTCACCACCAGGAAGTCCACTGAAATAAAACCCATGGGGAGGCCTGGGGGTGGAGCCCAAGAACCTGCCTGGATGATCACCTCAGGGAGCAGTGTGTTCGCAGCTCGCCGGAATGTGGGGGCCCACCTTACACTGGACATACAGTTTCGTCTCTATCATACTTCTGTAGACTTCTTAATCAGACTCAAACCAGCTTATACAAAAGAACTGATTTGGGGGCATGTGCATAGATACCCCAGACCAGAGGCGAGCACCCCAGCAGAGTACGTCTCTGGCTCCTCCCTGCCAGGAGCACCAGCCACGTTTTCAGAGGAAGAAGAAATCTCTGAGACTAACGCCATTCCTCTCAGCTGTGTGGAGGGGCCTCTCTGGGGCCTGGAGACCGGGTGGCTTTGTGCTAGTAGTGGGACCCTGGGGGGCGGGTAGGAAGCTCTGAGGCAAGGAGCACTGGCTGCAGTGCTGGTCCTTGGGGTCCAGGTCTGCAGAGCCGGCCATCATTGCTCCCTGGAGCTGGAGAGGAAAGGCAGGGATGAGGACACTGACACCCCACCAGCAGGCTGGAGTCAAGCTGTGAGGTATCAAAACTGCCCAGCCAGGGACAGTGGACGGTGTACACCCCAGGACTGGTCATTTAGCGAACAAAGGGGGGGGACACATTTTACACATGTGTGACCCCAGAGGTAGAGCTAGGACCAGCAGCCTTGCAAGGGTCCTTGGGTGCAGAAGGCAGCCCACAGTGCAGCCAGGCCCCCCCACACACACACACAATGAGAAGGCAGGGAGGGTCTGGGGAGGGGGGGGAGGTGACCCCAGCCAATGACTGCTCCTCCAAATAGCCGGGTGTTCTGACCATACAGCCTGGGCCTTCTGGGTGCTCACACCTGGGTGCCGCAATGCAGGAGAGGTCAGAGCACAGTGGAAACTCCACGCAGACCTGACCAGACTTTAATTATCTCTGATCAACAGAAAACCTAACAGTCTTCTCAGATGGCCATTCCTGGAATATAGATTTCTGAAGTCTAGGGACTCATTCCTTTAAATTAAGTCCTGTATCAATATACTGGCACTAGCCGGGGAGGCGACCCTGCAGGAAGCACTGCTGGAGAATATTAAACCCACTCAGTGGTCGTTTACTCTGTGTTCCTCACGGCAGTGGAGGACAGACAGCGAATGCAGGAGTTTAAGCTTTGTCAGTCATACGAAAGTAGCTGTTTTATGGTTCAATGATTTTCAAATATTAATAAAGACTGGCAAAGCACACTGAGGTCATCAGTGACACTCTGGCTCTATCAGCAAGACCCTTCAAGTTGGAATCAGAGTGGAGCCTGAGACTGTCCCTGCCCCCACCCTGGAAACAAACACGGGCTCTGTAAGGCCCTGCACAGGGCCGGGACGCCCTGCAGCCTGCGGTGGACGGAGGGTGGGCTCACATCTGGGGGTTAAGAGAAACTACAGGACCCCCTTCCTTTATTAGCCCCTCTGTGAGCAGCTGTCTGAGAGCCGATCACAGAGAGAACCGGCCTGTTTCAACCCACAGTCCTGCCCTGGGCACCTCTTGGCTTTGAGTCCTGGAGAAAGGTGACCAGTCTTTGGGGAAATAGAGCCTGGAAAATGAAGGACACTTGGGTTTGCAGTGATGACTATGTCCTCTCCCAAAGCAAAGGACATGGCCTAGGCCGGGCTCACCTCTGAGCTCAGGTTTCCCACCACTGCTGAGCCAGTTCTGGGCAGCCGACACGGCTGCTTACCTGCAGCGAAGGCAGAACACATCACAAAGAACATTCCGACAGCGATCCTTTTCAAGGATGATGGGAGCAAGCCATTTCTTTTCAAGATGGGATCCACTAGCTTGTCCTTTAACGGTATCAACAGGAGGATGAGCACGGCATCGAACAGGGTCAGCCAGGCTGCCGGAAACTGGAATTTTGATACACAAGAAACTGGTTGGTTTTCTCTGCATCCGGAATAGCCACTTAAGATCACGGACATGGGAAAAACTTATTTCAAGAACAGCTTTTGTGTAGTGAAGTATCACCTCCCAAGGAGAAGGTCTGTTTCCAGACACCGGCCCCAGGGAGGCCCGTGCTTTTGAAAGGCCCTGCTCTCCGGCGCTGTCTTCTCTGCACTTTGGAGGTAGGGGGAGTCAGATGAAAACAATAATTAAACATGCAACTGAAATTCATCTACTTAACCTGGCAAAAGGCACAGCCAAGCCAACAGGCAAGGGTCTCTAAAACGAGGGAAAACTTCATTTCTGTACAAACATCATCATCCATGCCACCGCCTACCACCTACGGCAGGTGTGTAACCGGAGGGGGACTCTGTCCCCCCAGGGTGGCCAGCCATGCTTAGTGTTCTCACCAAGCGTCAGTGTTCTCACCGTGTGAGGAGTGGTTTTAAAACTGGGAATTTCCGGAATCTTCAAATGAAGACTCTGTAGAACATAGGTCGTCTGCATCTGGGGTGAAGAGCAGAGTTGTCACATAAGCAGCTCGCCTGTGAATACGGCCGCATGGCCCTCCCCCAGGGCCTCTGCCGAGCCATGGCTCCTCCCCACAGGCCCCAGGGTTCAACTGTGATGTCCCAGTGAGAGCAGAGGTGAGGCCACGTGGAAAGGAGAGGCCCGGACAAACAGGCGTGCCCACCCTCACATTGTGGGAGGAAGGAGGTCTTCAATACATGGCCGGGGCCAGCGCAGTCCACAGCTACAGGCTCCCAAGGGCCAGCAGGCCTCGGGCGCTAGTGTGGCACCGGGGCCCAAGGGGCACTCACTTGGAAGTACACTGTCCAGTAAGGGATCAGAGCCAAGAACACAGGCATGATCTTGACCAGGGCTTTCACGTCGTCCACTTTCTCTCCCGTGAAGGGCCCTCCACGAGACATCTTACATGAATCAAACAGACTTTGTTTAGAAGATTGCTGAAAGACTCCAAGGCCTTCACTTTGGGAAATAAAATGAAGGAATTAGTTTTCTTCCACCCCCAGAAATCAATTTTTTGGCAACAAATCAAGTCTGGAAGTGTGCCCCACACCTCACCAGCTTCTGCATGAGCTTACGACTTTGGCTCTTACTGATCGCACCTAACATGCCTGCCCACAAGTCCCTTACGCTGCTAGAGGCTGAACCCAGTGCCCTGATCCCGACCCTAACCAGACAAGGGATCTGCTAGGTGACACCAGGCAGCAGCCTGTGTCTGGGACAGTGTGGGCTCAGCTGCAGCTGGCCACAGCTACACTGCCTACTCCCTCTTTGAAATGCAAACGGCCCTGGGTGATTTGCATGCTTAGTTAGTTAGGCAATGCACCAAATGGCAAGACCTGACGACCACATGGATGTTAGACAAGAGTGTGGGTGCAGAGTTGGGTGTCACTGTGGGGGCATGATAGAGACGGGTGATGTCACCTGGACCACCAGTCCAGGGGAGACCAGGGTGCCCTGCTGGGCCCTGGGCACAGGAGGAAGCTCCTGCGGAGTGAGGGCCGGCCGGAGCTCTGGGGCTGGGGTCCTGAGCCTGGTAGCCTTGGCTTCACGCAGTGGCTTAACCACTAGAGAGAGGACAGGGCACTGCCTGTGGGTGCCCAACAGCTGCCACCCCAACACTGGGCCTTCCCTCCTGGCTAGCAAACTGGCAGCTGCCGGCTCACTTACTCTGGGTCTGTCATTAATTGTATAAATTGTGCATTCTAATCTAAAGCCATAAACATCTGGGTAATGAACTATGATGACAAAATGCTTTCAGTTCTAGAGTCGGATATAAATGGTGGCCATCACTTTCCAGTCCCATCTGACCAAGTCACCACCATTCCAGGCAATTTTTGTCTTACATGTGTGGGCATTAAAAAACAAAACAAAACAAAACCATATTTTCAACAGAAAAGAACTTAAATTCTATTCAAAAGTTTCACTGGATACCTACTATATTCCCAGTTCCATTCCAACAGAGTGCTGGAGATTTCCAGATTAAGTTTTTTTTTAAAGATTTATTTATTTATTCATATAGAACTGGGGTACAGGCCAGAGATGCGGAGGGTGAGAGGCTTCACCAGAGACAGGGCGGGGAGCAGGACAGGCAGATCGACGAAGTACACTGCTGAGGGGAGCAGCGGGCGGGTCAGGAGAGGTCTGCCGCGCCATGTGGTCACCTCCGGGGCAGGCGGGAATCGAACTCATGCGGAAGTGACTTAAGCTTCTTAGTGCTGCGCTTTAACCCACTGCGCCACCAGGGAGGGCCCTAGATTAAGTTTTTTAAAGACACGCTTCCTCCTCTTTACGTAGCTTTATAAGGAAAAACACTCAAAGTGAAACTGTAAACCCAAGTGATGTTACTCATCTTTTCATTTGAAAACATTCCCAACTTCTCCAATTCTTTTTTTACTGGTTAAAAAGGAAAATCTGCCGTCCTTATATACCTAAGAAGATACTGTCAGTAATTTCCCCACGAGATGCTAACCGTGTGCTTCTCTGAACATTTAAACATGGAAATCTATTTTCACATGTACAATCTGTCACAAAGGCCACCAATCATCTCACTTGTGCTTTGCATCAGTGTAGCATTTTGAAATCTGCCAAGTCAACACGCATTGCAGCCCACCCCCCTCACACAGAGCCAGCGCATCACTCTGCAGCACACAAAGCCTGACGTGGACAGGGCCACAGACAGGGCCCAGAAGTGGACATGCACCGTGGCAGAGTCCCTGTCCCAAAACCTGCCAAGCAAGACCCTTAGTACCCAAATCCTCAACCCCCATACACATGTATTAAAGTATGGCTCAGCCACTTCCACTCTGGTCTGATGACAGAACAGACACAAGTTCATTCTAACACTCGCAGTAAGATACAAGTCAGCCTGGGGCCTTCCTGGGGTCTGGGGGTTAGTCTCAGGCTATCACTGCTGCGGCCTGAGTTCAATCCTGGCCTGGGAGCTGACCCACAGGGTGCAGCAGACCTCTCCTGTCTCACCACTGCTACCCTCAGCAGTGTATTTCAGTTGATCCACCCCTTCTGCTCCCCACTCTGTCTCTGGTGAATCCTCTCACCCCCGCCCCCTTGCATCTGTGGCCTGCACCCCAGTTTTTCTCTGCCAAAAAAGAAAAAAAAGCCTGGGTCAGACACAACCATGATTCTGTACTGACAGGCTCTGAAAGGAATGGTGGTAATGGGGTCCCTCCAGCCCCCCACTCAGGCCTTCATATGAGAGCTGGGTGCCACAAGGTTACACAGGCCCCACCTTGTCTTGCCAGGCCCTCCCAATAGACACAGGGGGAGCAGAGAGGGCAAGTCATCAGTCTCCCAGGGCCAAGGCCAACCTAGTACAGAGGAGGGCATGGACCAAAGATTCTCCTGACCACAATCTTCCTGCAAGCCAGGCCTTGTTTCTTGATTGTGTCAGAGAAGACTTCCCAAATCAAACCAAGAGGCCAGATCCAATGTCAAAGTCAACTCAAAGCCACTTCACGGTGGCATCTGTGCCCCAAAGCTCACAACTCACCCCCAGAGCTACAGTGTCTCCTGAGAAACGCCCCCTCTCCCCAGACACATGGACTCTCCCAACACTGCTCTGGAAGGGAACTACTTAGTCCTAGGAGGAACACCTAGGCCACAAAGCCCTGCTTCACCTAAATGCAAAACAAGGGCCTGCCAGACATTGGGCAGCTTGGGTGTGACTGCTTCAACTAAATTCTCTAGCATAATCCCAACACATGTGGCTGTGGCATGAGTTACTGCCGGCCACACCGGCTACAATTCCAAGAGGCCAACTGGACAGAGGGGTCCATCAGCATGGGGACAGCTGGAGAAACCAGGCCTGTCCAACCTGGCTGGACAGGGGAGCAGACCTAGAACTCCAAATCCTCGGCATGAAAGGAACACCGGCCACGTCGCTGGCTCCAGGGAGACACTGCAGAGCCAGGAGCAGGGCGCCTCTGCTTGGCACCTCCTGCCATGAGCAGCTGCACAGAAGCTCAGCCCGGTTGGGTGGCCCCACTCAGGAATGCCTACTTGGCCCAAAACATACGAGGGACCCACTGTCAGGGTCCCAGGGCTTTCTGGGATGCTTGGAGAAGTGCTGCGCCACAGCACATCTGTGCCACACTCCAGGGCCCTGCCGTCAGCAGCGTTAACTTCGGCAGGTGTCAGCGACACCTCAGGGAGCACAGTGCAGAAATAAGAGGCCCTCTGGGTGAAACACCCTGCTTTCCTGTTACTCTGCAAGTGTGACAAGCACCCATCACAGTTTGCCCGGGGCCGGAGGACTTTCCCCAACTGTGGGGCTTTCAGTTCAAGGGACATTCAGTGCTGAAATTGGCGGAGCCCCATGCAAATGGGTAACACTGTCACCCTACTGCTTCTCTGAATGCTGCTTTCAGTCCTTCTGTGGGTAACAGGGCCATGCCAACCTACTTGTCTACAGACTCAGGAGGCAACAGTGGCCTGTGGAGGGGTAGAGACACGCCCACAAAATAAGCTACAGCTAGATTGTTCATTGGAATGGTTTCAGAGCTCTCTGAAACAGGGAAGTGTGTGGGGTCTTCAGAGGAATGGACAGCGGCAGCCCAGCACACCACCAGGACAGCCAGAAGCTGGCCTTTTAGCTCCATGCTGGAGCCGCACAGAAAGCCGGCACTCACCCACTCTGCCTGCGCTCTCTGACTCGCCTCTGGGGAGAACAGGAATATGCCAGGATCTTGAACATATCAGAGAAGGCACTGCCGTCGGGAGGCTTGGTGATGAACACGCTCAGGCCACAGAGGAAGACCAGGAAGGCCACACCGATGCAGACAGTGGGGATGAGGTAGCCAGTCAGAAAGTCCACATTCTGCTGGATGTAGGCAATCCCGCCCAGCGAAATGATTGCTCCCAGATTGATGCTCCAGTAAAACCAGTTAAAAAACCTTCTTGTGGCTTCTGGACCTCGATCTTTAACCTGAAAAAAAGGGAGGAAAAAGGACTTAAAAAGGTTAGCTTCATGGATGAAACCCACACACAAAGGGCAACAGCCCCCTCTGCCTGCTGCCCCAGCAGGGCTGGCTTGGGCAGAGAAGGCGCTGGCGACAGCGGTTGCGCCAGCCCTGGGCGAGCCCCTGTGCTGAAATCCAGCATGAGCGCTTCGTGCCTCTCTGTGTCCTCTGTGGCACCTGCTTTGGAAATACCTGGAATACTCCTTAAAAACAGAGATTCATGGAACCATGTTCCAGACCTACCCATGCACTGTCTCTGGGGCCGGGGCCCAGGAAGCTGCATTCTAAGCAACTATGCAGGGGGTTTCTGCTCACAGCTGTTGGGGCCGCTGTCACACCTAAAGGTCCACATGGCACCAAATCTGGAGCAAAGAGGAAGTGAAAGACTCAAGTCAATACCACAAGCTGTTTTTAGTTCAGAAGACTGTCAATGAAACCAAGGGAAATTCAGATAAGGACAGATTCCAGAAGGCCCAGAGCACACTAATTTCCAGAATGTAGGCAGGCGTGAGCAGCAAGATGGCAGGCTTGGTCTTGCAGACACTCCCACAAGACCCTCCCCTCCCCAAACCTTGCTGGCCAGTTGGGGGTGGGGGACTAGACAGGTACAGGCATATCTTGACTCCCTTCCACCTGGAGTTTTAGCTATGGAGCACCAAGAGAAAGCTCTAGACAGCCAGACTCTAGCTAGTTTCATTCCATAGAGCTTTTAAGCAGGTCATCTGGTCCTGCTCAGAACTTTTGCCATCTCACCCCAAGTTACAGATTAGAAAATGGTGAGAAATCCTGTTACGGTCACATATCTGTTTCATGAGCCCCAAAGCAGCCAACCTTACTAAATAACAAAGGAGATTCTCAACAGAGGCAAAGGGAACCCATCAATAAGAAGGAACTACGCAGCTTCCTGGCTCAGATTATTTAATACTGTAGTATCCTATTGAAGACTCAAGTAACACTATAAAATAGTCGTGTGTTCCTCAAAAACAATCTTTTTTAATCCAAAGTGACTAAGCATGTCTACCGTGTTGGCAAGAAATATGCATGACATAATCATATGGTCTCCACAGTGGGAACTTGCAGCCTGAGTTTAAAGAAACGACTCGTTCTCAGGACTAAAGCCACGACACCTGGCCAGACACCTGCACATGGAGAACCATCTGACGCTGAGAAGAAGGCCAAGAGCACAGTGTGTCTGATGTGACAAGGCTGGACTCAGCATGCGTAGCGCCCTGGAGGCAGCCCAGGAGAAAGACTGTGAAGAGAGAGCAGTGTACCCATAGAAACCAAACAAGCCAGCTTTGGGGGCAAGCCTGAGAGAGAAGGGTGAACGGATCAGCTCTGGAGTCAGTGCAGACTCGACTCAGCACATCTCCACCTCCTGCCCCGAGAAGTATGCACTGGCCAGCCTGCAGCAGTACAAGGGACACGGCAGGTGACGTCACAACCATAAGCCCGGAGTCACCAGACAGAAGCTTTTTGTAACAAATGGGAAACAGCGCCTGCAAGGCCTGTCACACGCTGTGCTGGCCAGCACATCAGTCACACGGCGTCATCCTCCCCCACTCACGTGACAGGCGCCCCGGAGAGGGCAGACTGTGCTGAGGCCGACAGCTGGCTCATCTGCAAGAAGGCCTTAAAAGGCACAGGCGCCATGGCCTGCACGCTACCTCTGAAGCAAGCCTCTTTCCTTTCAGCTCGCCATTTCAAACATGCCCCCTGTCCGTGAAAATGTGGCAATTCCCGAGAAAGACCAGCAGCCCCAGGAACCGGGGGTGGCAGGAGGTACCCACAGATACCTCCCAGGTAGTTTCTGGCAACGAGTCTGCCAGCCACTCCTCTCTCCCTGGGCCGGTCCCTGGAGGTCCCAAGCAGGAGAGCAGACCAGCGCAATGGAGCAGCAGAAAATACCTTAGAAACAGGTTTCCCAGAAAGAGAAGGGCAGGAGACAAGCACCCTCAGGGCCCTGAAGAGCAGCCCCACAGCCACCACCTCCAAGCTCCCCTTCACAAAGCAGCCAAGCCTGGGCGGCCAAGCTGACTTAAGTGCACGCTAATTCAGCTTTCCAGGGGCTCGCTCACAGTCATGCACCAGAGAACCTCAACCCCCAGAAGGACCACCACTGTGCACCTCAGCACTCACCGCCCATCCCCTCACGCCCCGGGCTCCCTCATCGTGGTCTTGTCTCTACGGCTCATTTCATCCTTTTGAGGCCTGTGTATGACCTCTCCCTCAACCTCCTACTGCCCAGGTCCAGCTCGTGGCCAAGAGTCAGGACCTCCCCCTTTCATGGCCAAGTCCTAGGCCAGCACAGGAGCCACACACAGCACTGGCTTTTCCACCCATCAACAGGTGGCCCTCCACTTTGTGTGAGAAAAAGGCAGACTGACAGGAAAGCTGACAGACGATAACAGACACTTGCCCTGCACTTAGATTTTTAGTTCATTGTGTGCATGTGCTGGCTTGGCTGTTTACAGACACATTTACACATGGATGCACACTGACAGACACACATGCAATGGCCCTTTAGGCAAGACTGTTAAGTCCAACACTGCTGGTCGAAAACCAGGCATCCCTGCCACGGTCAAAGCCTGCCCTGCCCCCCTGCTTCCCACGGGACAGGCGTCTAGTCCACGAGGGCAGAGACCAGCCAGCACAGGACAAGGCGGCTCCGTGTTCAGGAGCAGTCTTGCCTGGCCTGTGCAGACAGAGCCTGCCTGTGCGCGCAGCCCCACCTGCACTTCCCGGGCACCAGGGCTGAGCCGGCTGGGATCTACAGCATCGCAGAACGCCCTTGCGCCTAGCAGTTAAAGTGCTGACCACTTTAACTGCTGATTTCTTAACACATCCTGTGTTAAGAAATCAGAGGTGGCTTGACTGCATATCACTACAGGACAGCAACCAAAGAACTCTTTTTGGTTGCATGGGCTCTGTGCAGAGCTAGGGAGCTGAGGCCGATACAGACTGTAGGGCTGTTGGATCCATCACCCCACTGTGAAAGCGGCCCCACCAAGGACACAGGAGCGGAAACAGTGTGATCCGTAAGCTGGATACTCGGAGACTGAGTTTTTCAGCGTTGTGTAATGTTTACTTATCACAAAATAATCTTTTAGTTTTTCATAGCATGTGGGCCCCCCCAAAAGAGGAAGTAGTCCAGATTTGGTGGGGGCCTGCCGCCCTGCAGCAGAAGTTTCATCACCAGACACAGAAATCAGTTTATGTTGCTTCTCTGCTGAAACCCACAGGCCGCCTAAGGCACTGGCTCTCAAACCCTCTACCAAGCCTCACCACCACACCCTGCCTTCCACCCTCCTGACTTTTGATGGGCCTAGAATCCTGTGTAAGTTTAAGGCGCACTACAGACCGACATATTAACACTACAAAGATTGCAAGTGTGACGCTGTGATGTGCCCCAGCCACAAGGTCTTCCCTTTACAGACCCTACGGCCTTTGCACTTGCGGACACCCTTTGCCAAAAACGTCTCCAGTAGCTCCTACTTTGGATAACCTCCAGGTTTTCACTATAAAAAATTCCTTGGTGGAAAGGAGGTACATGCACTGACAGCCACCTCCCCAAACTCCCCACACCGAGCTCAGTGCAGACCCTGCCCCAGGATGCAAATGACTTAATATGGTCAGGCACTGCAATGGGACCGCATCTGTAATTCCTACACAAAGTCTAGGATGCTGCCCCAGGACCCTTCTTTCTCAAGCCCCATCGGGACAGAGCCTATGGTCACCTTCAGTCTCTGCTCCTTCAGTTGACAGCCACCCTGACCATTCCTCCCTCTCTCCCGGGCTGAGCACACCCCTCCTCGACGCCCCAGGACGGCTGCAACAGGGCTTCCTCATCTTGCCGGCCCCAGGGCCTTTGCACGGGTAGATGCCCCTGCAGAAACCTCCACTGAGAGCTCCAGGGGCGCTCCGCCCGGTGCCACCGTCGCGGTGCGCTCACCTGGTCTGCGCCGAAGGGCGTGATGTTGGCCTTGACGGTGCCTACGCCCAGACCCACGAGGGTCAGGCCGGCCAGCGCGACGGGCGCGCAGTAGCGGGTGGGCTCGTCGGGGCAGGGCGGCGCCGAGCAGTTGTGGGGGTGCGCGGGCCGGTGGGGCCCGCAGAGCGCGGTCCGCGGCCCGGGCGAGGCCAGCAGCGGGAAGGCCAGCAGGCCGAGCAGGTAGAGCGCCAGGCTGAGCAGGATGGCGCGCGCCCGGCCCAGCCGCGCGTCGGCCAGCCAGCCGCCGAAGGGCGACACCAGGTAGGTGAGGCCCATGAAGAGCAGCAACGCCTGGCTGGCCTGGGCGCCCTCCCAATTGAATGGCGCGCCGTTGAGGAACAGCACCAGGTTGGCCGTGACGCCGTAGAAGGCGGCGCGCTCCAGCAGCTCGGTCAGCAGTACGGCAGCGCAGGCCGCCCGCCGCCCCGCGAAGGCCGCCCCCCGCGAGCCCAGCAGCGGCGCACGCTCGCCGCCCGAGCCCTCCATGCGCCCGCGTCTCCCGAAAACACTAGCCACCGCCCCTCCACCGCCCGGCCCGAGCCACTCACGAGACTACGGCTCCGCCCACCCCGAGCCTCTCGCGAGACTCCGCCGTCCGCCCGCCCCCGCGCCTCCCATTGGGTGGCTTGCCGCCGCGCGGCCCGCCGGGACTTCCGGAACGCCCCGGAAGCCGGCCTGGGTTCCGCTCGGGATCAGTCTCCGGCTCTGGTCTCCGGTGCTCGGGCTCCCAGACCTCATCTCCGCGGCCTAAGGGATTCCGGCGCCCCGCAGGGCCCTGGCGCTGAGTCTCCACTCCACCCTGCTCTTCTCCCACCCTGCGAGGCTCCCGTCGCGCAATGCCCCAGCCCACCGGGGAGGCGGGGCGACCACGAGCTCCGTGGTGGGGACGCCGCGGCGGAGACTTATTAGCCGCGGACACGGGCGCCGCGGCACTGGATAGGACCGCCCGGCTGCGGACTCTGTCGCGGAAGCGCCGACCCGGCCCGAAGGCATCGGGCCAGGCCCGGGCTCTGCGAAGCCGGGTTCCAGCTTAGCCTGGAGGTCTGCTATGCCCCCTCATTGGGTGGAAGCAATTCTGAGCTTACTGTAACGTGGGGCCCCTGGTAAGTTTGGTGTCGTGATTGTGCATTTGACTCAGTACAGGGAAGCCTTCCCTCTGCGTGGAGTTTGCGCTTTAGACAGCCCCAACCCGATAAAACATCCCAGACTCAAGTTGTGACGGACTCCCGAGCATTTGCTGACCAGCTTTCCCACTACCCCGTTCTATTTCCTCCACAGTAACTTTGTAAATGGTGTGTCTGGCGCAGTGTACGGCACACCTGTTTCTCGCCTGGTACTTGGTGGAGTGAGAGCATCGCCCCGAAATGGTGCTCAGCATGACTTCAGAAACTGCGATCCATAGCCTCGCGATTCAGGGTGAATCTACTTCCTCTTCATGCTCCTAACCTTACTCCAGGGTGGAGCTGGCACCTGGGAGTCATCCGAGTAGGTGCCCTTCCCAAAAGGCAAAGTAACCGCAGCAACCTGTTTTCCAGATGTCTGGCATCTAGACTGATGCCGACCTAGCGGCAGGTAAATATTTGACACCAGCTGATGAAATCCTTGACTGGATCTCCTGCACCCCCATCCCTGCCCATTCATTACTAATCATCTTCCTTGTCTGCGCAGGTGTCACTTGCCAGTGCTCCCTCACTAGGTCATCTCTCCCTTTGATGTGTTGCTGAAGCTCTGGAAATTATTTCTGTGCAGCAGCCTTTATATTTTATAGTAGTTTATTTTGTGAAATGACTTATATCTGTTCAAGATCAGAGGACTGTTGTGTCCACTGCTGTCTTCCTAGACTCCAGCACAGCACCTGCTAGGTGTGGGATGAAATGAATGAAGGGACACTCAAGCTGTAAGTAGTGCCAGAAAAACAGCTGATTTTCATGGAATTTTTTGGAGACCGTGTTACGCTGTACGGCCTGTGTCTGCCATCCGATTTAACTAACAAGCAACCTCTTTGAGGTTCTGGTTTGGGGTCACACTTCTGGTTACAATGGAGTAGTGGAAGGCTTACAGCTAATTCCTCATGCAGTGCGACTCCCACACTTAGCTGGCGGATGAGCATTTGCTCTGACACCGCAGGCAATGTGCGGTGACATGAACATTGGCCATGGAGTGAAAGCGGAGCCTTCAGCTTGAGCGCATGGTGGCTCAGTGCCGAAACTGTCCAATGCAGACCTGCTTCTCTGGAAGGAGGGCACCACCCAATTGCCCGATCTCATTTAGGAGGCATAAAGCTAAGCAGGAGAAAGGGAGGGGCAGGCCCAGGGTTCGGGCTGGACAGTGAGGGATTTTGAGCAGTTGTTCCGGGTCTTGGTTGAACCTGGCAGTCTTTGATGATCTGAGCTTGCAAAACCAGTCCAGCATGCCGGTGGTTTGGTTTGGTTGCAGTGTCGTAGAGAAATCACCCAGGATTTCCCTGCTTGGAAATGTCCAGAGTAGGTCTAGTAGGTAAACCATGTCTCAGTAAAGCTGTTATCAAACAAAAGGAGACATGTATGAATTGGGGGTTCGCTGCTGCTTGGGAATGAGCATCAAGAAGAGCATTGACAACATGGAGACCTGTGAGGACCTGTTACACACAGTGACCACCGCCCAGCCCTGTTGAATCTTGCCTCTGTGGTCTGTGCTTTCATTTTGCTCTCACAGGCCCACAGAACTGGGGCCAAGATATGATTTGGTAGTGAGAATGTAGCCCATGTGGAGCTGAAGAGGAGCTGGCATCTTCCACTGCATGCCTTGGGAGCACGGACCACATGTACCTAGTCCAGCCGCTTTGCTGGAGAGCCTGTGGCATTGTGGACAAGAATCCCAGGGCCCTGCATGCCATCCACCTGTCAGCTGAAGGAAGCTGCATACACATGACCAGCAAGACCCACAGAGAAACCACTGAGCCTCAACCCCACTGCAGAGCTGTGAACAAATGAAACAATTGTCCCCACAAGTCACTAATTGTGGGGGCGATTTGTCAGGCTGTCAGATTGTAGAGACACACCGGCCCTCCCCAACAACCAGTTCACTGTCCCCATCACAGCCTCCTGCACGCTGTTCTTACAGTTTGCTCTATCTCCTGTAGCCTGTGTAGTAGCCACATGCCATTATTTGAATTAGTCACAGTTCAGTAATGACAAATCCCATTCCTCAACCATGCCAGTCATGTTGCAAGAACTCAATAGCCACGTGGGACCAATGGTTCCAAAACTGGACAGCTCACCCTGACCTGCGAAGAGTTCTGTGAGACCAGCCTGCTTTGTTCTGATGTGTGGTGAATAGGGCCCGTGGTGTCATGACCCCCTTCCAAGCAGAATCATCCCAGTTCCACTCTTAGGTTCTTTATCTGCCACCCTGACCCCACTCATACAGCTCAGGACAGTGTAACCTCATTTTGGTTAATTCCTCTGGATCAGACGTAACAAGCCTGTGCTAGTCACTCAGGTCTCATCATAGTAGCCAGTTCAGAAGCCAGACTTTATTCAGGACATCAAATCCCTCCCACCCCACGCAGGCTCAGGGGGAGACAGACAAAATTGGCCCCCTCTGGATAAAGGAAAGGACTCCTGCTCATGACAGCAAGTGACAGATGCTACCAATTGGGCCCCTGTTGCTGCTGACAGGAGAGGAACCCCTCCAGAGGGAAGCCAGCCTTGCTGAGGCATGGTAGAGTGTTGGTAGAGCATGTTACTACTTGTAACCAAAAAGTAACCCCCCCCCACACACACACACACCCTGAGATTCCATTGCAAAGTGAGAAAAAGAAAGGCTCCATGCAGCAGTGTGACCTGACTTCTCTCCTGGCTGGAATGGCTCTTGGGACCCCTGCCCTGTGGTCGTGAGTGAGCTCGGCCCCAGTGAAGTCCCGCCCCAGATCTGATGTCAGGTGCCTCCCAGCTCTGCTGGGTGTGCTGCTACTGGAACCAAGCTGCTTCAGTGGGGGCTCTCACCTGCTGCTCCACCACAGGCCAGTTCTCATGATGGCTCCTTGGAGCACAGCAGCCTCCCTTTTATGTGTCCTTCCTAGACCAATCAGGTACAAGCTATAGCTGACTGGTGCTAAATGGTCCAATCAGCCTTAGGATCAGAAAACAGTCCAATCAGACGGTGGGTGGGGCAACCTGAAAGAACATTTGAGTCAGGGCTGGCTGGAGCTAAGGGACACTGTTCCAGCCTCAGAAGGACAGGCAAGACTTCCTAGCCTCCGAAGAAAGGATGAAAGAAGAAAAGCATCTAGCAGCTGACCTCTGAGGAGAAACTTTGCAGACACTGGGTATCAGTCCCGTCTCTGACCACCTGAAAGGAGCTCCAGTGTCCCTGGTGTCTCAAGGAGCTGTTTGTTGTCAAGTGTTGACTAACAATTCACAGAGTTGTTAACACTGGGCATCTCTGACACTGCCTCTGGGGGACCAGTAATGACCATCCATAATGGCCACTGTTGGCCAGTGTGGTCTAGCCCTGTTGTAGGTGATCGATGTTCTGCTTGTACTTCTGGTGGACACCATTTAGCTCAGGTGGCTGGCCACTTGTTACAGTAGGCACTTTGTTTCCTATTTACAAAATAGTTATTCCTGGAGCCTGAGGCCACACGCAATTGTGTACAGGTAAAACCCAAAGAGAGCAGCCTTCCCTCTGTGGGGTCTGTCCTTTTTGCAGCTACGGCCCAGAGACGCCTATTGAATGGGTATCGTAGTGCTATAGCCCTTGGCTTTGGTTTTTGAACCATTTGGCTTTTGGTCCACTCCTGGATGTGATGTGAACCTGTCAAGTACGAGCCCTAAGGTGATTGGTGCTAAATGGTCCAATCAGCCACAGGCTTGAAAAGCAGTCCAGTCAGACTTGTGGGTGGGACACCCTGAAAGAGGTGCTCCTAGAGCCCAGAGGTTGGGCACTGGGGCCTCCCGGACTATCCTACCATACCACTCCCTCCAACCCATTGCACTGAGGGTACATTGCTGTTTCTGGAAGTATCCATGAATCTCCACACCTAAGAGAATCAGGGAATAACTGACCCCAGGTAGCGGGCATGAGAAAAGGTAGTGTTGCTGCTTGAAGGGTCATTTTGTAAGGAGCCGCTTCTCAAGCTCCTCCCTCCCTCCCCCCCCAAACAAGGATGCCACGTGATGAGTGGAATTGAAAAGGTTCCTTTGCAGTGACATGAAACCCATTCCTGTCACTGCCTGTCCCTGCGCTCCACACTGTACTGAGCTCAGGGAAGATGCTATGGTAGAATGAGCTGAGAAACCCTCAATAGGGACACACTGAAGACCACCTGGCTCCTCTGGCTGTGTTTGTGATGAGGCTGCCTGGTCTGGTAGAGCTACATGTCTGGTACCTCCGTGAGGCCATCCGGCCCCGCTGCCACTCACGGTGCTCCTACCTCTTCATGACACTGCTGTATGAGAGGCCATGGGGTCTGTCTCTGCCTCCTTCGACATCCAGACCCACGGCCCTGCAACAGCTCCAGTTCTCACGG